CAAAGGCTGCTAGGGAGCCTTGGTTAACTACCTACAAGTCCATACTGAATCGCAAATCAGGCCCGCGAGAACTTCAAATCTCAGGCACCTTCCAGCTGGTGCAGTCATGTAATAACCTGTGTCCAAGCTCAGTTTAATTAGAATTGCTCACATTTTAATACAGAAACCAGATATAGGACGAAGTAAAATTTTAAACTCCACAAAAAGAGGGCGAAGACTATCCGAAAGAATGAGGGGTTATTCTCCATTTTAATCAATAAGAAACTAGCAAGTTGTGGATGGGTGACCTCTCAAATACGACTCCATTCTCTGCGCACCGACAGACGAACGAACAACGCCAAGTTCACACTGACTTCAGTGATTTTTGATCTCGTAGAAGTTTACCGACGTTTCGAAGGTGCTTGTTGCCTCCATAATTCGGTTAATGAGTAAGCCGTGGGCGAGGAATTTCTCGGTAAAGTTCTAGCAGATTATACAGCGCAACAACCCTGAAGACAGAAAACTTTGAGATACAGCAGGTCTCGGAAAACGCTGACAGTTGGCTCAACTTTGACGTTGTCGACCAGTCGAGAAGATTTTAGTTCAGGTGCACGATTTCTTATTCCAAGCGTCTGGCAGGTGTGTGAACGATAGCATTTTTATAGTCTACGTACAACTTCCAACTCAGACACTAATACAAAGTTTATTTTAATAAGAGCATTTGAATTATTTACAATGCAAAAGTAACACGGAATGGTTGAATACGATATTCAACGAATCACATAATAGTAATAAAAGAGGCAGAGGTGTTCATTTTTCATTGCATTGATATAGAAAAAGAATTACTATTTGTTAGATTTACATCACTTTTGAGACGTACCCCAAGACTAATATAATAGCACTGTGAAACATTTTACAGCTCGTCGCATTCATGCACACACAATGAAGTGATTGTACCACGCCATTAATTTCTCTTACCACCCTCTCTCAACCACTAAATATGCGATAGCATATAATTCATCGCATTGTTCTGTTTCAAACAAGTACATTTTTTGAACAGGACACAAATATTATTTTCTACTCCAGTTATAATTTCATAGGGACTAATCAGCCTATAGATCATGATTTATTGAGCTGCACATGTAAATCCGAACAATTGGCTCTTATGTAGAGTCTGAGTAGACTGTAATTTGTTTCTGCCGTTCAAAATGAACATTATACATCCCGACACGTGGCATATTTTCATTGTGTGGGTAAAATTGTGAAGTTAAACACTCGAAAAGTTAATTCGCTGTAGCTTGGTGACTGTCCTTCACGTACACGTGTAGAGGGGACGTTAAACGGCGTGTATTAACTGGGCAGATTTATCTCAGACCCTCTGTAAGCATAATGCATGAAACGGAGAACACATTACGGGTTAAATTGCTTCCGCCATTTTTGAATTTAATTTCCAAATAAGCTTGATATTTTTGCATGAAACAGGTACAGAAACTACGCCTAAAACTGTTTTATTAGCTACGTCTTTACAAGATATATTACGAAAATTAAAAATTAGTAATTGAATTAAGAGTTTATAACATACACCTGATGACGGCTCTATGAAAGCCGAAACATGTCGAGAATGTTCCATATGTAAATCGAGTACTCGATACGGAACAAAGGATAATATTTTAACCATTTAATTATCTTATATTACTTTATTGTGATTGACGGACAATTTTAATATATTTTAAAACTATTTTTACTTCTTTACAGTTTACAAAAAAGATCGCCTTCTTAAAAGTGTTTAAATATCTGAAAATTTTGTAATATTTTACATCAGAAATATGACTACAGCACAAGTTATCTCATTCGGAAACACTGGTGCTTTCTGTCTGGGTTTATTACACTGATTATTCCATGTTTTTAACAATATAAATGATACGTCATCATACCGATATGTTACCGTGAAAGCCCGAATGTTGGTGAAAACTAGGGTTCACCAGATAAACCTAGGTTTTACCAAACTGTGGGTAAAAGCCCATATTCCACGAGAATAAGGTAAAAGTAAAGAGAAGGGTATAAATGTAGTAACTCACGGTTGTAATCGATGTTAGTTTTTCGGTTCCATGAATAACAACTTTAGAAACATACATTCCTCATCTAAATTGTATTTTTAAAAAAGATTAACAGAAGTCAAAATAATAGATAAAGACATTGCAAGAAATATAAAAATTGTGAAATAAAAAAATATGGAAAATCTAACCTAACCTAACATTTTACTACGTGATTATGGTAAAACCTAGATTTCACCAACATTCGGATTTTTACGGTAACAGAAACGCTAGATACAGAAGATTGTTTAAAATACAAACCCAAACTGAAGGTGAATATGGCGCACATGTACGGGATCTACAACTTCGATGGGCAGAGGAACGTTTGAAGAATTGTAAGATTTGAGGTTTTCTCAGCGGTGAGTATGAAGATTCCTGTCTTCTGGGTTGTTGCGCTGTGTAGTCTGGTCGATGTTAACCAACGTTTCGGAGGTCATACTGCCTCCGTCATCAGGGCGATGAGTATGAAGATTTCTGTCTTCTGGGTTGTTGCGCTGTGTAGTCTGGTCGATGTTAACCAACGTTTCAGAGGTCATACTGCCTCCGTCATCAGAGTATGAAGATTTCTGTCTTCTGGGTTGTTGCGCTGTGTAGTCTGGTCGATGTTAACTAACGTTTTAGAGGTCATACTGCCTCCGTCATTAGGGCGATAAATATGAAGATTTCTGTCTTCTGGGTTGTTGCGCTGTGTAGTCTGGTTGATGTTAGACAACGTTTCAGAAGTCATACTGCCTCCGTCATCAGGACGATTCATGACCTCTGAAACGTTGGTAAATATCGACCAGACTACACAGCGCAACAACCCAGAAGATAGAAATCTTCGTTTGAAGAATTCATTGAATTTAAGCTTCAGAGCAGACGGACGCTGTGATGAGCAAAATCCCCCCAATATGATCCCAACAGAGACACTGTGTCGATTACTACGTGTTCCCCTGTGATCAAGAGGAAAAATTAATTGGACTTTAATCTGTTGGTAATAAATTAATCGGTTCATTAGTCTTCCGTACTTCGCTCATTTCCGGGCGAACGCTCGCTGTCTTGTCAGCGACACCTCATTCTGCTCGAGCACAGTTCCTCGCCATCCGGGCAATGAACACACCATTTCACTGAACCGCAGCTGCTCCGTCCGCTGATTGTTATGTAAATTACATGTGTTGATGTTCATTTGCTTCCCGCATGAGTGCTGTATCATAAGCCCATGCCATTCATTCACTGTTCGCGCTTACAAGTAAGCCTGTAATACGTTTCATGTTATCAGACAAGTTCTCACAAAACACTCAAGCAACAAAGATAGCCTATAGCTACTTGTATTTGCCACATCGTATTAAAAACCCGTTGAAATTTAACAAGAAATTATTTACTGCTATTCGTGAACAATTTTGCGATGCGTAGGCCTGTTCTGAAAAGGCGCTATCGGATAAAACAGCAATACGCCGACTGGTGTCAAGTTTTCGCGACTCAGGAAGTGTTTGTCTCTGAAAAGGGCTCATCGAGCGACAAATCAGCTGACATTACATTTCAAGCAATTAGGCCTAAAATAAGCTGCAGCAACGGAGTACGTCTTCATGAATTCGGCATTGTCATTGGTTTCGAGTTTTGTGCTTGAAGGGGTGGTAGTTAGGGTCGCGTTTTAAATGGAACATCCTGTACGATGTATGTAGCCTAACTGTCCCGACGCTCATAAAAACAATATAAAAAGAAATGCCAAAAATGTATATTTGATTAATAATAACAGTGCGACGTAGATGTTGGCGGCTGAACAATAGAGAAAATTAGTTTTCGTAATCGGAAGCTGAGAACAAATTAACAGATGCATTCTGCACTGTTTGAATTATAGGTAAAAGTAAAGTAAATTTTGTCCCACTATACGCCATGTAGGCGCTTGGGGTGAGTGGAGGTATAACTCCTCTCTTCCTTGACCTCGGCACTAGATGGGGGTGAGTGGTCAGCATCACTCCCCGGCCGGCTTTACCCCCGGGAAAGGACCCCCAGTACCCATTGTAGAGGAGGCTGGGTGGGCCCCAGAGCCGGTCTGGACGCAGAGGCTAGAGGAAAAATCCTCTGCCTCCGTCGGGGATCGAACCCCGGTCGTCCAACCCGTAGCCAGTCACTATACAAAGTCTGCTTATAATGCCATTTTCTCAAGTACTGCTCAGTATATGAAAGAAACAAAGTACTTGATGTAAAATTCTTTAAACAAGTTCTAACAATTTGATTTTACACTTCATCTCTTTTTTGATATTCACCTGACCTCAGAGCTAAAGTTCAATTGCTATTTTTCGGGCAGACACCAACATTTTGATAAGCGAGATTCTTTACTTCATCTGTATTACATTTTAATACACGTACTTGTATTTGTTCCAGTTTCCTCGAGATAGGAGATGGTCAGAACGATCTTTGCGAAGATATGAGATTTTCAAAAAATAAATTTTAGTATTTATTTACACAAATGTGTTTAGTTACTACTAAAACCTATGCTAGACCTCTGAAAATATTTGTTACTATCGCAACCAAGTCGGACGGTTACGTGGCGGGAAACAGAACTAGCGACCGGACACTATCAGCGCTCTAGTGTAGATAACCACTGGCATTTGTGTATACAGAATGTTCTGTTTCAGCAGACAAGTCTTGCGACGTCGCGACCGGTGGTGGTGCAAGTGGATGCAGCAAGAAGCCCGCTAAATCGAAACGCGTTCGGACAATCTTCACTCAAGAGCAACTGGAACGCTTAGAAGCGGAGTTTGAGCGACAGCAGTACATGGTAGGGCCGGAACGACTGTACTTGGCTCACGCACTCCAACTCACAGAAGCTCAGGTAGGCCACATCACCAGAAATGCGCACTTAAAAACAATTTGTCATCAGAAGTAAACTTTATTCATGAACGTGTAGAAATTAAGAAAAAATTTTGTCTTGCAGAATGATGTAGCCATTAACCACAACTGTACATGAAGTGCAGACTTTGACTATTGATTGTTAAAGGTGGTACATGCTGTTACCACTGGGATTTAGAGGGTTAAGACGCACGATTAAATAGAATGAAGTGTTTAATAGTATTTTACACGTCTGGTTTCAGTAATTCATAAAGTAGTAATCGCAGTCAGAAAAAAATCTAAATTTAGATTCCGCTCTGATTACAAGTGAAATCAAAAAAGCATGGGAACTACTGATATGTGGTTCCTTGTACATTTTACATAGCCAAATTGGAGCAAAGAATTCAAGTACAGATACCCCACGATGTGCTTGAACGTCCACTGCATTAGGCTGAATATCAGGATCACCTGCTTTGATTCCGCGTGCTATTAACCATGAAAATCATATTTGTACCCTATGATATGCGCATTTGCGCCACAGAGTACATTTGTGGGTTTCGTATGATTCCCAAAATAAACAGCGATTATTTTCTTAAACAGCATTTACCAATCAATGTTGGGATTAAGACGTGTATTGTCTGATGTAGGGACTAAATATTTAAACGATGATCTTCGGCTTTAAAATGTTGAGGTGGTTGAATTTTACTAAAAATTATATTCTTCTGATTTTAGGTTAAAGTGTGGTTTCAGAACAGACGAATCAAATGGCGAAAACAACATTTAGAGCTGCAACATCAGAGATTGGCCGCGATGAAACAGCAACTCCAGCACCAACATCTGCATGGAGAAGACGTTGAAGACAGTGAAATAGACAGCAGCAGTGGAGACGGGGTTAGCAGTTTCCCTGCAAGAGTTTCACAGCCTTCCGAGTGAACCAGCTTCACTGAGAAGGCCCAGACGCAGGTTTCAGCACATCAAAGCCACGGGCTACGAGACGATGTGAAATTTATTGCGTTGTGTAAGTGTTCTAGAAGCAGGAAAATCAACGAACGGACGAAGAATTCAATGCCTCAGCCATATGAACTTTGCACTCAATTTGCTTTTTATTCTGAAGACACTGGCAAAACATTTGACATAATTAAGGACACCGAATAATATTTTGATGACAATTGTGCTATCAGTCTCACAATTGAGTGTTGATTACTACTGTGTTGAGGTTATTGACACAATCATTAACTAAAAACGCTGTCTGTTAAAGAAATCACCAAACAGGGGAAAAATAGGAGAGATAAATGTATACAAAACTTTTGTCGGAACTCATAAAGCGGAAATACAGTTTGGAATACTTAGGCGCAAATGGGAGGTAAACGAATGGCGGGTAATGGTGTGGATTGGATTTAAATGGCTTGAGGTCCAATGCCGAGCCCTTGTGAAAACGATGATCAACTTCCTGGTTTCATTAACGGGTGGTGTTGACTAATTGAGCGACTGTTTCTAGTTTCTTAAGGACTCTGCTCAATGGAATCAGATTAAAGTTAATACTGATACTTGGTGATATAACAGACCTCTACGAGTAATACATTGATAATGTCC